ATGTGTATATTTGGATATGGAGATTAAAGGATTGGATTTGGTGAGGACTTTGCGAGATGTGTATGGCGTCGTGCCCAGGATCGAGCATTTTGAATGCATTGTCAATTTTTTTAAGCCGGGTGGGGCTTGTCGGATAGGGAAAAAAATTGATTCAAAGGATGCCATTGAGGTCAGAGGAGGCGGCGAGTTTGAGGGCATTGATGAGCGGGTGTTGTGGCGACAAGGAGGATGTGGTGGAGCAGGTGTTGTGACATTGGAACGGAATAATGAGACGTATGTGTTATCTTTCTAATGTTTATGCAGCGGTGGGGAGACACGGTTAGGCGCAGAGGGTTTGAAAGGCGATGAGTTGGCAGAATGTTGAGAAGACATCGAGATGTAGCTCGACAGAGTTATTCATGATTTTGTTTCCAAGGAGAAGATGTATTGTAATGTGAATCGAAGAAATGATGCTATGACTCGCAGCAAATAAAATAGTCACGAAAATGTGGACGTTGTGGTTGTCTCGGGCACGACAAAAGAAATTGTAAAGCTGCGGTATTGTAGGCCTTTTGAAGTGTAATTTTTGTTTTTGTTTAAAACGTCCTTTTTGGTGTGTAATTACATTTGGCATAATTGATAAAAATGTAATGTGGAAGGTAAATATACAATAGCAATATTCAAATTGTATAGAACTGTTGTTGTAATTTGGATATTCTGATGGTATATGAACATGAACAACGGGTATGTGACAGTTCTCCTTTGTGTATGATAATTCAATGACACAGGTTTCAAATAAATGAATAGAGACACACGAATTATCTGGGGGAGTATTTAGTTGATCTATCGAAGCACATCTGGTGGTAGCATATTACTGTCACAACAATATCAGTGTGGTCTTGATAATTAATAATCGCAGTGACATAAAGTATACGAACATACTGTGTTGATCATGTCACATCCGTTAGAAACATACAAATGAGGATTAAGTCTTAATCTGTTTCGGAATCTATGAAGGTTATATGCTAAATCCTTACATGCATTAAATGGAGCCATGAAGGTACACAATTCGAAAACCTTACCATAAGATTACGTTGTTCAGTTACACGTTAGATTACAGAAGGTACACACTTACTAGGATTTTGTACACCATGCGAGTGTGGGGGTATGGCAGACCTGCTTGGAGCATTTGCCTATCTAGTTGAGTCATGCGCTATCCAAGTATGCTCCTCACCAAATGTTGTTGTGTATGAAACAATATGGATTAATCGTAATAAGTCTAATGAATTTCAATTTATGACATCAGTCATTTATACCAACAACCAACATAATTTTATTTACTTACTCATGACTTGTTTAGTCATTTACAAGTGAAGGTTGAAATATTATCATACATATTAACTAATTATTTATGATTTGCTTAACCATTAATAGTAAATATGTATTGTTTATCTTTCTATACACTTTGGGGTGTTACGAGAAATACTACCATGGTTGAATTCATTCATAGTTACTGTCATTTAGTGAATATTTTAAGCAAAAATGCATGTTCTCCCGCTATAGGTTACCAGAGCATATGTAATCGTAACTGAAGTATATTTGATTGTTATTGTAGGTACGTAATATCTTATATAGGGTATCTACATTTATGACTCTGGTATGTAACCATGTGAGCCGAGTATAAACCTCAATATAAGAGATATAAATAATGATTTCATAGGCATTAGATTTGTAGTACCAGGTATCTTCAAATGTAGTTTATTTTAGTCAATCCCATGCGGAGGGTCCAATGCGCGAACTCGTTGAGAGTACTTCCTCTCTCTACCTTTGTAGACCAAAGATTGTTTTGTGTGCTACGGTGTGTATTACTGGGTAATAGGTTTAAATAATCAATCAATCCATGGGAACAGTGGTATATGAGTAAAAATCAACATAACTTACCCTAGTCACTCATTACTTGTTTAACAATCTATAGTAAATATGTGTTGATTACCGTTTCATACATTTCGGGCATTCATTTAAAGTATGCAGGTACACAATTACGCACCTATGTCATAATGTTATATTTTTTATTTATATGAAAGCAGAGCCCGGGTACATAATTTGATAATAATTGGTACATTAAAATCAATAGGGGGTACATCGGAGCCATGCTGAAGTACTTACCAGCTCAACCAAGTTATACTTCTTTGAAATGTTTCTGGCTAATTGATATTGAGTTTATAAGTGTGCAGTAGTTTGGATTATTATGTCATGGGTCAAAATATTTTAGACAAGATGTACTGAGGTATTTGATGACTAGTAGATTACGACTAGCGTGTTCACTTGAATATTGTTGTGTGTGCTACGATGTAGATTACTATGTAATGAGTCTAAAGATTTTCAATTTGTGACTGAAATTATGTATTCTAACAACTAATATAATTTAACTTAGTCATTTATAACTTGTTTAGCCATCTACAAGTGAAGGTTAGAGTATAATTCTACATATATCATACAATATAATTAAGTCATTTTTTACTTGTTTAGTCATCTATAGTAAATATGTTGTTTATCTCTTTATATAATTCAAAGTGTTATGGAAATACTATTACAATGAATTCATCCCCGATTACCGACAATAAGTGAATATTTTGAACCGAAAATGGTTGGTTACCTAAGCACAAGTTACCAGGGTATATATACCCGATATTGAAGCATGTGATACCAACTTTATCGGTACGTAAGATCTGCGCTGGGGCATATCGGTATTTGATGCAGGTATGTTAGTATGTGCTCCGGATACAAACTCCGATATTTAAGGTATAAATAATGGTTGCTTAGGTATTATCTGTGTAGTAGCAAGTATCCATGAATGTAGTTGATTTCAGTTGATCCTCTTATGGAAGGGCCAATTCACGAACTCGGTGTGAGTACTTCTTCTCCCAACCCCAATGGAAAAATTTGGGCATAGTACGTTTACATTCGACAGCACATGCCAACACTTTTCAATGGCAAGACAATAAAGCATGTACAAGTAACAACCAACATAGTTTAACTAAGTCCTTTATGACTTGTTCAGTTATCTACGGTAAATATGTATTGTTTATTCATTACGTAGATTTCTGGGATTCACGGGAATACTATAATGATACATTCATCCCTGATTGCCGACAATAATTGAATGTTTCAAACAAAGAACGGTCGGTTTCTAAAACACAAATTATCAGGGCATATATACTTGGTGGAAAGGTTTGGGCATGATACATTTACATTCAACAACTTATGTCATATTTTTCAATAGCGTGATTACAAAGCATGTAACGTTATTCAATGGGTGTAATATAATTACTTTATGCGTCAATATGATATAACCGGTTGGATCTGCTGGTATATTTTATTGTAGTAAGTGGTATGTAACTCTATTACACAAGTATATAATGAAATAGTAGAGGTTTGTAAATATATTCTGCAGGTATATTAATAATGTACTGAGGTATTTGATGATACAACTCTGTAAGAACGAATGATAAATATAATATCATGTTATTTCCATGGTATTTGAATTCTATTATTGGGTAATCATTTGGAATTCTAATAGCTGATCAAAACCCATTGTTGTTGCTAAGTACAACCATTACCTATATAGCACAACTAAACACCAAATTTCCACATCCCACACAACTACATTGCTATTATAAAATTATATACGTTAATATTACATGTATATATATATATGTATTCTGCAAGCATGTTGGTAATGGAATGAGCTATCTGGTGATGCTAACATGTGGGAACAAATGGTAAAAATAATATCATGTTGTTTCAATAATGTCCGCTCCGATGTTGAATGACGTGGGCTCCGGGCTAAAGTTATTAACCAAGGCAAGCAGGCGGTGCCACTACAACCTTATCTTTGGGCAGTCCAGAAAATGGCCGAATTGAGTCATTTTGATGGCTCTAATATGTTCATCCAATATACATTTCTTCATTTTCTCCGCCTCGTTATGAAAACATGGTACTGCAAATCAGATGATAACCTATTTGTATTCTTTCCCCGGTTTGTAAATAAATACCACCAGTTCACATTACTCGAACAATAAAAAAAAAATTAAAATATGCAACTTCAGGTAACTAAACAAAATGTACATCTACAAAATTAACAAAAATCACAAATTAAATAAATAAAATAATCCAAAATTGGTGCCAAAATAAAACACTCAACTCGGTGTATCTGGGCAAATATAAGAACGATTTCAAATTCGATTAACAAATAAAACTACATCGATCACTAGGGCTTCTCAACACCAAACCAATGTATACAAACACGGGACCAAGACTTACACCTCAAATAATCGAACAAACTACGGTATAATATCAAGGTCAACAAATCAAAACTTCTCAATAGATCTTACTTCTTCGAGCTTGTCTTGGGGGATGGGAACAATCAGCTGTTTTCTTCACATTTTTGCACCGAATCGGTTGTTACTTAATTGTCGGAGGTTCGAGAGCATTGGTTTGCCTAGAGATTGAAGAAAAACGGTTTAAAATCGGTGTAAGGGGAGTTATGAGAGGTTTCCTGCCTTTACACTTATTAAATCGTGAATTAATTGTTTTTTTTTTTTAAATTCACAAAAAGAAAAGGTACGCGATTCCTAACTAGAAGTATATAAGGTTACAATAGAAGTAGAGCGGGAAGTAATATAAGTACATATTACAAAATTTGAAGTATTGATCAACTTATTTCGAGTACATGTTACGTACATAACGGTGATTGAGGGAAAAATATACATTGAAGAGCTATAACAAACCTAATTCATAAAGTAGGACTGCAGACTAACTAATTTCTAATAGGGACTGAATTGCAAGTATATTATTGACAGGGATTTTAATCCAAATTTACCTATTTAATACCATATTTTGTAAATAAAAATTAACAAAATAATTAATTTATTGCTTCGACCGGCTCCCCACTAGCCTTATATAAGCACATTATTTATATAAAAATAAATAAATAAACATTTGATAGGACTAAGGGAGTATATGAGTAGGACTAGCTTCGTATAACAAACCAAACTCCCTCTACTAATACAGGAAATATCATCATCACATCGATTCTAAGATCGATCCATCGATAATTTATTACACGGTAATACATATATCAATATGAATATTATATGCAGTACCACCTCTACACCGCCCATCCGAGATTTCACTGCAGCAGCTACTCAATCGATAAAAAATTTAACCAACCAAAAACCTGAACGATGATGATGATCTGATATGATAGAAGCATTTCCACAAAGAAAACACAAACCAATCCAGAAATAAAAAACATTTCATCCCTGTGGAATATAGTTCAATGGCGGAACGAGTCTCGGTCGAAGAGATCAGTCGAGCTTGACATTGGAATATAGAAGTGTGTCCTTGGTGAGTGGCATGTTCATCAGAAAGTGGATCTGCAGCACATCAGACATAATCAGTTGTTGATTCTCGGGCAAAAGCAGCAGACATCAATATAAAGAAACGTTACCCCCAATAGAGTCGCAATTACGAGAATGATTCCTGTTATCCAGGCTAATGTCCTCCTCACGAAAACAATTTCTGCAATTTCAGTTATATTAGCCATCGGGGCTGTTGTTTCCTGCAACCAACGTGGCGATGATCGGGGTGATATAGTGACGCGGAACCTATTCTCCAGCTCTAATTCAGATGGTCCACCTTGGGCAATAACTCCAACAATTTCTCCTACCAAGCAGAAAGTTATAAATATTCATTTCTAAGACAAAATGCGGCCGGGAAGACAAAAAAAAACTCAGAGTGATAATATTTTATTGAACTATACAGAAACAAAACAATTCTTTTGCAAATTATCAATCCTAGGGAAAATTGAACAGACAGAAAACCATTCGACTAGTTCAAGCAAAATACATACAAAGTAATTTATCACACTTCAAATGCGGGACATGGGAGGATCTATTGGCGCAGTGGAGTGGAGTGTATACACGGAAACATTAAACTACGCCAACAGAGAACAATACAAGATGGAACCAAACATAAAAACGAGCATCAGTATTAGAGAAAAGAATATAAAACCTTGGTATGCTTCCAGCAAGGAATCAAATGCCTTTGAGATGGACTTAAGCAATACTTCCAAGCCACTTTGAGCAATACCATCTTTTCCATAACGAACTTTTAAGGCCTGTTATAATTGCACAACAAAAAAACTCAGTATCTGAAATTTCTGTTTTCTCAAACTCAAAATCAGAGCAAAGAAGTTTCCATACCCTGAAGATACACAATTGACTCGATGAAAACTATTTCTAAAAACCTCAGTATTTGTAGACCACATTCATTTATCTTACAGCTACATATCACGTGGAAATTTTTATAAACCAAAAAGTTCCCTGAAACAAATAAATAGTTTTGAACATAACTTTTGCAAAGAACAGGTGCAAATGGTATTCAAAGAGACTAATAGAGCTGCTGAAATTTAGAGAAGGGGAACGCAATGCTGCACAATCATGTGTAGCCAAACTATAAAGTTTAAGAAGAGTAACAGACGAGGATTTTGAAATGATTATAGCTAAAAAAGTGTAACAATACCTGGACTCCATCGAATCTCCCAACAATTATCTCAGCTGGACGGTTCTCACCTTTTGCCAAGACTGCATGCATCTCCTTGGCCCTTATTATATTAGTTATCAGAGACACAAGACTGGTAGCAAACTCCTTGTCAGCTGCCTGTCAAATTTAGTAACAAATCTTATCCAGCATACTCTTGAAATAAACAACTCAGAAACACTTCATTTCCAAGTACAAATAAATCGATGGCAAAGCAGAAATCAATCATTATAAGAACCTCTGACAAATGAAGTCTCAAGAAGGCACCATCATCCGTTGGAATGACCAACTCTCCATTCAATGGTTTGGACACATCTTCTACATAGGATCCACCCAACCAAAATGCCTAATTTAACAAAACATACATCAAAGGGAAGAAAAAGAAACAAATAAACAAAAAGACATGAATAAGATGAAGCTGGATGATGAATGGATTAAGAGTGAATCATCACTAACAAAATCACTTATTTCTTTCTCTGAACAGTCAGCAAGGCTTGATGCTCCATTCAATGAGAACAGAGACACTTCATCTGTATCCATAAGATATAGTAGACAATTGAGTATTTCAGATAATAAGGTAATTTGCAATATATTACTAATCACAAGGTTGGTAACCTGGCAGCTGAATCTCCACTCTTTGATTTCCTTGAACCTTGATTCTCATAGCACTAGTAAATCGTGATTGAGCCAAATCCGAAAGATGTTGAGAATCTGTACACAAAAAAGTACATGACGCCATTAACACACTAGTTATTATAGATGCAGATCCTTAGTTGAAGCAGCATACCTTCAACTCCTGTAACTTCAAGCATCAACAATGCACGAGGTTTATCAAATGGATTAGGCATCAGCAGGTTGTTTAGCTACAAAAATTGCCAGCCAGTAAACGTGGACAGTAAAGCTGAAAAAGATTCAAAGGGGGAGAGGGGGGGGGGGGTGGAGGGGTGTGTAATACCTTGGATGAGCTAGCATCAGAAAGTTCAGAAGAGGGTGCAAAGCCCAGCAATACTGATGCAATAGCTCCTATTTCATTGGGAGAAAATGAATCAATCTGCACAAATAAGACACTTAGCACATTTACCAGCAAAATGTTTCAAATGAATGAAAATTTAAATTATAATAATAATAAGACTAATGGGTTTGGCATGGTTCTCTTTGAGTTTTTTCTAATTTTCAATTTCTTTACCATGCAACCTCACAATTCCCTATAAAAATGTATTCTTATTTTTTTTTCATACAAAATGTTACATCAAACAACTTTTTAACGTACGAACCAAAGCACAAACCCAAAAAAGCATACCCTTTGTATGGATGTTGGATAGTTTTTGGTTTTGAAATCTTTTTAAATGAGATGAATAAGTTGATATTTGGATCAGTTTTGAGATATGATGTAATATATTTGATTGAAAATATATTTAAAATGTGTTGAGTGATACACCTCAATAATATATTTATATGTAGGCCATTTTGTAAAAATAAAATATTTTATAAATATAAATTAGGTAGTTATTAGGAGAGAGATAAAGATATAAGATTTTAAGTGGGTCAACTTTGAGAAATGCGAGAGATCATAATTTTGTAAAAAAAAATAAAAAGAAGAGCATTGTGCTGCATAGTGCTGAAATTTTTTTCTAGAATATAAGCAAATGGGTATGCTTGGACCTCATTTCCCATTTCTATTAGAACTGATATCATAGTTATGTAACACCAGAACATATGAATCATTTCTTAAAGCTGGCCAGTAGAAAATACTGAGGTAATAATTGCCGGTTGTCTGTAACTTGTAACTTTAGTCCACTCTTTAGGTCCTAATGTCTGCCCAAATATTTTATTCCCTAGCCTCTATCTGTCTTCAGCATATGTCCCTCCTACATCTTCTTAGTATATATTATAAAAAAAATATTTTCGAATAAAAATAAAAAACAATTCCAGAAATAACCATGGATTTCAAGAAATTTATAACAAACTACATCAATAAGACAAAAATGAAACCAGATATGCAAGTATCATGTGCGCTCAAGAAAGATGTCAATGGAAGCATGTTGTATTTATATTTGAAATGTGTCCTACTTAACTACAACAGAGGATCCCTAGGTACCATTCTTTGAAATCCTTGTCCTATGCAGAACTTTTTCTATGCATTTGTTTTGGCATCAAACTTGTACTGCTCAAAGCTAATGTCTTTTCAGGAGAAAATGGAAACCTGGGCTTTTAATTATGTGATTATAATTGAAGTTACTATCAGTAGTCATTGCAGTTGCAGGTAGACAGATCAATATATTCTATAATATACAGTGTAGCCATAGAATAAGAGTGCTATGAAAACACTACAATCACCATATAACCACAAAAGGCACAACGATGGATTATAACATTCCTCATTCGCTTGAGTTTCCCCAAACAAAGAAATGCTCGGCGATGATATTTTCAAAAACATATGGCACCAAACACCGGTAACTAAGCATATACCAATTATCTCATAACCCATCAGAATACAGAGACTTGTGATAAAGTAAATATATTTTGAACCAAAGAGAATGCAGTAGACTTCAATTATTATAATAATAATTATTGTATTACTGTTATTTATTTATTTCAAAAGAATTTGACACCAATATTTCAGCACCTTTCCAGCATTTAGAAGAGCAAAATTGATCAGATTGGAAAAACAGGGAACCTGGTTGGGTTAGGGTTCTGATCTACTGATCTTAGCACAACTAAATCTAACCAACAACTTCACACACATGGAATACATGTGTTTGTTAAGACTAAATTGAGGGTAATTCAGTAAGTTAATCTACTTAAATCCATAGTATTACATACAGGAAGGCAGATAAACAGAGAAGAAAAACGATTAAGCAGTTCATGGTTCGAGTTTGAAATATCGTTCACATAAAACCACTGGAAAAGATTAAATCCAGTAGAATTTTATTGACAAGTGGATAATCTAATGCAGATTGCAGACAAGAAATTTAAATTGCAGAACACTGGTAAGCTTTATTGATAGATTACATGAATTCCAGTTATTACAATATACACAATAGCCTGCAACTCATAGTAATATTCTTTTACTCATATATATCAATACCACTTTCAGAGTTTATACTAAATTACTAATTCACATTCTTGAATATTTCCGAACATGATAATGAATTTTTCATTGTATATGGTTTGAACTTAAGTGTGTGTTCTAATTGAATTTTGCTGAAGGTCTGATTCACATTGTTGAATGTTATCGTAAGAGATGTTAAATTTCTACTGATTTTGGCTCTATCTGAGTTTTATTGATGGTCTGCTTTCTATTGTTGCTGTTATCGTTCGTGATTTTTAGAAGGATAAAATATTCATGCAATATAGGAATCTCTATTGCAAGGTAATAGTAAGTTGTTTAGATAGATCATATGAATTTTCAATTATTAGAATATATACATGTGATTGTTTACAAATCATGTGTATTCTTATATTCACATATATTCATGCCACCACTTACACAAGCTAGTTCATGTTGATGAAAATTTCAGAATGTATTATGAACTTTTCTTCATATACTATAGAAATATGTACATGTCTATCTCTGAGTTTAAACGGTAGGCTGTTGTATAACGAACTCCAACAGCAAACAACAAATCGAAAGGGGCATCAAACAGAAGGAAAAGAGGACTTCGAGTGTCTCTCAACAATTCGCACTGTGCTTTTAGAAACCATCGAAATTTATGGTCATCATTTGATTAAGTAGGTGCTGAAATTTTCATTACTGGCAATCTGGCACCCTAACCTCTCCGGAGAGAACCCTAAAAAGGCTAATCCTTACAACTGAAAAGCAATCATCAATCTTATAATTTACTGATAGTAAAGATTTTTCGACTGTTTCAAGCTAAAAGTTACTCAATTTGGCACCATTCCAAAACAAAAATGCATCCATTAACAAATCCAGGTAATTGAAATATTCTGTGCAGGTTTATTTTTCAATAAATTACACCAATATCGCAATACGATTTCCCTGAATTTTAATCACCCTCCACAACTCTCCATCTTTCAAGCAAAACCTCGATAACCTTATAACAACGCAAGAAGTGATGGCTAATAATCATCGCATACTTAAACCAGCATCCAAGATCCAGATGAGTACCTTGGCCGACGACTGGCGAAAATACTGTCGCGTGGGGCTGTCAACGAAAGCAACCGTAGAATCCCCATAAATCGCCTGAGATTAACAAAATTGCATCTCTTTTTTATCAATGAAATTTATATTTTATTGAAAGATCCTAACAAAGCAAAAACTAATCAACCCGAGCGCAGAGAAAGAGAGAAAACACATACCTTGAATTGGAAAGAGATAAGAGAAAGGATTAGAAGAGAGGCTGGAATGTAAGCTCGGTGGGATTCCATTTTGCAGAGGCGGAACGAAACAGGGTTGTGAATCTATTGATCTGCGACTGCAAATAATGGCACGCGAAGAAGATGGATGGGAGGATGAAAGGGGATACGATACGATGTCGTTTGGACATGAAGGGAATCGTTCGTTCTCTTAAAATTGTTAATTTATTCCCGCATTTCACTTTGACTTGCAAATACATTATTTATTAATAATATTTTTGTAAAGTTATATAGTTCCTCCGTCCCATTGGAAGGATTATATTTGATTTTTTTGTACATTTTTAATATTAGTATTATATTAAATTATAGTAAAAAAAGACAAAAATACTCCTATACTATTAGTACGGTGTAATATAAAATTAATGGCATTTGTGTAATATATTTTAAATTAAAAGGCTATTTATTATGTTAAGTACGTAGTACAATTGGTAACCTTATTTTAAGACAAACGAAAATAGAAAATAGTAACATTTATAACGGACGAGGGAGTTTATTAAGTAAATTTTGAATTAATTTAATTGTAATTCAAATTCAATTTCAAATTCAAATTATCTATATTCATAGACTTAATAGAAATACTGTATTTGTTTGTTTTGTGAAAAATATAATAATAAGTTGTAACCTTTATATTAAATTATATTATAATTTAATATTTTTTAATAAATAATATTTATAGTTTTATATATATATATAACATATATTACTAGAATCGCATTAATTTAAAAAATAACATACACAATAAAAATAAAAATATAAGAATAACGAAATAAATAATTAAAAAATATATATACAATAAAAATATAATTATTACAATAAAAATAAAATTTTTATAGATTAAAATTTATCATAATTTTTTATATGAATTTTTTAAATATTATTTCAAATTAAAAAATTAAAATTTAAACATAATCTATAAAATTGAAAGATTTACTAAAATATTATACTAAAAACCAAATCAATTTTTTCAAAAAAATACGTATATAATAAAATTTTAAAAAAAATTACAATAAACATTTTTGCTTCTTCTTGATTTTTTTTAATTATTTTTTGTTACATCATGAAATGAATATTAAAATTTATTAGTAGAAACTAAAAGTAAATACATAACGATAAAAGTCTAATCAATATAATAAGATGGTTAATTTATGCATAATCAAATTTAAAATTTTTAAAATTAATCAAAAAAATATTATTAGAATTCACTATTATAAAAATACAAAAACACAATCTATTGATAAGAACGTGAGGGACGATAACAAATTATATTTGCAATTAAAATATGAAAAAAAAATACGATATTAAAAAACAAAATCTACTATAATAAAATTGTGTATAAGGGTTATTGAATAATGCATATAAATACGATTATATCACCACTATATCAACCAATAAAAATAACAAACTTAAAAAAAATTAAGATAAAAAAACCGAACCAAAGAAATGTCACGTTCTATAAAATTATAGTTGAACTACAAATATTTGATTGTAAATCTCACGGTTGCATTAAAAAAACAACTAATCATGAACGATAAGCGAGCTTTTCAATATTTTTTTTTTTTTTCTAATCTTACGGTATTCTTCTTATAATCATTACTTATCAAATAATAATAATAATAAAAAAAATTAGTATAAATAAAAAGAATGCAATTTTTAAAAATAAGTATATATAGATGTACAAAATCTTAATTTTATCCATATTTTTGTTATTTATTATCTCAATTTTGTTAGATTATTTGTTATTCTAAAACTAAAATAAAACTCTAAAATTACGTGAGTGCAAGTGACCTGAGACTCGACGGAAAAGTCACACTAATCAAAATTTTGTCACAAAGTTGTGTAAGTTTGGTTGTATTTATAGTGTATAACAAACAATTCTTGAATATGAACTTAACCGCAGCTAGAAAGAAAACAAAGCATCCCTGCAAAGGAAAAATATAAAGCACGCAGTAGCATAGCCATCACAAAATAACCGCAACAAACAGTTCACATACATAGGGAAAACAAAGTACAATAGTTTTAATGCATAGAAATACCACAAAGTACAATAGTTTTAATGCATAGAAATACCAAGAGGTCTAACAAACAAGCAGTGAGCAACACTAGCAGATTAGTACAGAGAATACTAGCAATTATACTAATTATTATAGTAAATAAGCATATGAATCCTTTCTCTAGAGGCCCATCTCTTCAAACATTTCTGCATCGTCAGGATCGTCGTCGTCGTCATCATCATCATTGCAAGGTGAAACCAGGCTCTCAACATAGAAATCCGCTTGATAAATAGAACCAACATCATTGATTTGAGGAGCAGCCCATCCTCTGATCCTGGGATTGTAAACAGCTACGGCAGTACCATACGACAGGAAGATATTTCCATCGTTCAATTTCCAGATGCGCAGCATGTGAGGGAAATATCCAGGAGCACCCAGATGAGGGAGTACAAATAGTTTCGACCAAGAGCTGGTCACTCCATACTCGTTCATAACCCAGAGATCCATACGCGACCTGTGATCATCATACAGCACACAAAGTAGCCCAGAAAACAATCCCAGAGTCACACAAGTACCATCACAGCCTCGACTAACAGCCGGCTGTGTAGCTTCATTGGGGGGCGCCCCCAGCCTAGCATAGCTCTCGGTAATTAAATCAAGGGAAACAATATCCAAGGAACCATCACAATCCACTAGCCAGTGGATCTTACCGCAGGCATACTTACCTGAATCGTCCAATGGAGTGCCAATACTGAAACCTTCAATGTTCCTCCATTCATTAGTCTTTAGAGAGTAGATATGCACTGTATACGGACCATCAATAAACATGCAGTAGAAAATAGCCACAATCTTAAAATCATCAGTTGATTCCACATACCCAAACCCATCTTTCACATAGCAACCATACCCGCTCAAGCTTTCTGCTATGGAGGGCACATAATTGTATTTCTTAATTGAGGGATTCCACAGAACAAAATGCTCCATACCAAAGGCAATGCAGATTATCCCTTGACAGGAACCCACGATCCGCATAGGCAAATTATCATCATCCCCAGAATAATCCATAATTAATGGATCAACTTCAGGTTCATGCAACATGCTATGGAGGGAATACTCTCTGAAATGGTTGTGAGGATGTTCAAAGATACCAATCAATCGGAGGCAAGAGTACTCACCATTGTGTGCTGCAGTTTTGTGATGTTGTTTCATAAAATCAGGCGTAGCTATAAGAGAGAGCCACGACTTTGAAACAGATTTGAATCTCAGGAGAGACTCCACTGGTAGCCTTGCCAGAATTTCAACAATGATTTCATCTGGAAAAACCTGTGATAGCTGATGTAGTGCACCACCACTCTCATCTCCCATCCCGGCTGTTCTATGGGGTGGCAGGAAAGATGCAGCACAATAGCATGTTATATAATGATATAAGAAAATGAGACCCGGCTGGCATTTGGTGGGCCCCTACAGCTCATATTACCAACCGACACCTCGTGTTAATTCCTGTCTGACTCAAGTATAACCGCAAGAAATAAATGCAGTTTCTTAAAAAGAAAGAAAAGAAAGATTCCTTGAGGCACAGGAATAAGAGACTGTCGTGTACTGCCATGATTGATTCGACCGTTTACACATTTCAAATTTTATGCATCATTTATAGTCTAATTCCATCTATTCTCTGAACATTAAAATCAGTTATGTACACTCTATGCATAATGCAATAATAAACATATTGCATAAGTGAATGTCTATTAATTATCAAAGCTCCATAAAAGGTTATTCCTATATCACTCAATATATCAATTGCAGCTCATGAAATGATTACTGAGTTTCTGCTAATGACTTAAATTTGGTGATTAAACAATGCACGCACAACAAAGCTGCTGGCAAGAAAAACGAGAGACATGCGACAAAATAAGTTACTTTCACGTGATATTGTCAGATATAATTATTTCTCTCAATAACTTTAACCGCCGTTAGGTAGGGATGCAGAAGGCGATATCACCAAGAAACCAAAGTCTTTGTTGGATGACTAAATTAGTAGGGGTAGTTCTCAAACTTAGTTCATAGTCCAGATTTCGACATCAGTGTTTGATGCTTATGGGCTTTGATAAAATTCAGATCTTGATTCATACATATTGATTAGCATGTTCTATACTTTCTGCTTCCAGGCAACTTTATTGAATCACCAAATGTTGTCAAAGTAATTTATTTAAAAAAAATTCAGCTGCATAGATGTATCCGCTGAAAACTGACCACTTACTTTCAAAATGTTTGTGGCTATCTGTCAAAATCATCTGTGGTTCCAGCTATCACATATACAAAGTTTACATCATTGATATTGACTTACTAAAATAACAGCAACTCTAGATTCATATCGTTCTTATAGATAGTTGTAAAAAAGAAATGAACTAATTATGAAATCAAAAACAATAAAAATAATTTAAGTCAATATAAAAGTACACATTGAGCATAATAATCATTTATATATTATCATTAACTAATAATATTTCAAGAAACTGATAAGACATAAAGAATTAACCATTTGACTGATGGAAAATTCAAAATGTTATCTTATACAACTTACATACGATTTTAGTCATTTGAAAAAAAATGTTAGTATAGCTCCTATGACAGTTTGGGATTAAGTTCAAAGTTATTGACCCTACTACATGCTCGTACGCTACCGGTAAATTTTTCTGATACATTTAACTCAAATAAGAAAATGTTAATCTATTGCAATCAATGAATAAAAACCTGTATCGACTTGTGCTTGTGCCAGTAATAGAAACAAGAACAATAAGAACCAATTTTATTATATAGAAGAAGAACTGATCTCTTTTGTCAGCAGTAGCCGCCTTACACTAATTCTTTGATAACCCCCTCTAACCCTAAATACCATTTATTTATATCAACTCATAAATCTAATTGTAAATAAGATTAAGTACTAATTTGCAATTCTAACATAATAATTAATGCAACGATTAGACCAAAATGCCCTTTCCCGCATCGTGTATAGACACGCAGCGGTACCGGGGCCATTGTTGCCGGTGCTTGCAGTTGCAGTTGATCCATAACAGCCTGTCAAGATATTAACCATGGAAAAATGAAACGAAAAGAGAGCTTACCCAACATTGTAAGGATGTAGCAAGAGTAATGAATGTGCCAACAAAAAAAAAGCCGTGGATTATGACAAAAAAAAGTTAGGCCATTTAAGAAAACATCTACAATCTAGTTGTATAAAATTTGTAAGCCAAAATCCAGAGAGGAAAACAATAAAATACATACAAGGGTTAAAAAAAATAATAGATTAATGATGCCATAGGTAATAAAAATGTTACTGCACGTACTCTGCCAATCAAATTAATAACATTGGTCAACTTAAAAGATATATATTGTTCGAACAAAAAATATTAGTACAGTTGAGACTTTTCTGCACCCAAATAAGAAAAATATTCACATAAAATGCATACATGACTGGGAAGACAGATTATCAATTTACCTCATTATATGGCGAATATAAATCTTTGCTCAGTAAGTGAATTCGAAGCCCACAATTGCATCTAAATATGTGTTTCTGAGTATCAGGGCATGATGATGGAAATTCCATTCACCTGCAACAGAAATTAGAGAAAAGAGAGAAGCAAGAGAAAAGGAGTTGAATAGCCAGAATAATCTCTTAGTGCATTTAATTAGAAACCTTACTTGAAAATAGGTAGAAGTACTCCGTGGAAGATAAGAGCTTTCTGATGGGAAGCACTTCAAACTTCAGAATACAAATGCTCTTATGCACAACATGTTACCATTGTCAGGCACATACAAGCATATAAATGAACACGAATGCATAGCACTGAGATGAGTAGCTGTGTAAGTCTTTGTTGTAAGGGTAATATTTTTAGGGACAAAAAAAAAAAGTAAGAAACTAAATATATGGATGAATAATAAAATATCATACCAGCTACTTATACATTATATACTATTAACCTGTAAGATGCTTGACCTATTAACAGCGTGCAACACTAAGGGTGTGTTTGTTTGGGGGATTTAATAAGATTTCTACTATTCATCCAATTTTTTCCCCCCAAAAACATCAAATCAAACACCTATTTTTCATTTTTTATATTATACTAAAAATCAATTTTACATTCAAAACATCACATCAACACCTATTTATATCACATCATACAACTATTCAAATTCAAAATTTTTACTATTCAAATCCCAACTCAAAATCCAAACCCCCAAACAAACACACCCTAAATGGACTAATGACCATATGGCTACATCACCATACAAAAAAGAATTAAATAAATTACAAGTACAAAATAATAAAAAATAAAAAATAACAGGATTATACCACATTGGTGGTTGTTCACATGAAGTTAACAAGAAACTGTAAAGTAGTCATTTACCATTCAAGCTCCGATAACATGATGCTCATTGAACAACACATGAAGTATAAGGAAAATAATGGGTGAAACAACATAATACAAAGAAAACCAGGCAGTTAACTCCAATTTTCTGTGTTGTCATCCTTTTCCTATTTCTGTTTTGCTCTTTCTTCATCCGTTTTCTCAGTTTTCTTTGTTCCCCAGTGTGTTGTTTCTTGTTCCTTTCTTCCGCTCTTTCCCATTTTTACAGTTCTCTTCCATTGCAACCCTCAAAGACCTTCATACCTTTTGCAGTATTAACAATTTGTACCATTCACTGAAATATATATGCAAGCAAAATTTCAATATAGGGGAAAATTTCACTTGTAATATAGGGGAAATTTTCAATTCCAATTTGGTACATTCATTTGAATCTTGTTGGTTTCTCCACCCTATTTCTTGTTTTATAAAATATTTTCCATCATAAGAAGTTATCAATAGGGGAAAATTTTAAAACTTTTGCCACTTTTCGGGGAATAGAGACAAGAACTTGAAAGTGCCAATCTTCAAAAAGGGACATATCATAGCTAATCTGATAGAGTTGCACTTAATCAATCACAATATCCAACAACTTAAAGCTATATCTCTAAACTAATAAGAAAGTAAAACTTGATGTAAGTACTTGAAGAAAACAAGAGGTTTGGAATAATGCTTATGATCTCCTTGCAAACATACATATAAACAAATACCGTTAGAATAGACAAAAATATTATGATAGCACTATATGGCATTAAACAAAAACAATCTTAACATAGAGAATCAAATGTTAATATATATCCAATACATAAACTATATATACATACCTGTCTAATAAATAAAATATATACACATATCTATCTAATTATGTATGGATTATGTGTGGATACACCCAATACCCCCCTCAAGTTGGAGCAGGGAGAGTCAAGATGCCCAACTTGCCACGTAAGTAAGCAAAAGTTTGAGAGTCCATTGCCTTAGTGAAGATATCGGTGAGTTGATGAGTAATTGACAAATAAGCAAGAAGAATAACACAACGATGTCTCTCAATACACACAAAGTGACAGTCAAGAGTCAACTTCAATGTGTTTGGTTCGTTTGTAAAACACCGATTTTTAAGCAAGATCAAGCCAGGAGAGTGCATAAGATGAAGAAATATAAAACACAAATGCAGTTCTCTTACAATATGATCTAAAAGAAATCAAAATGAGAACTTTAGGGAGCTGAAAAACTTGAAATAAAAAACTTAAGCTCTATCTATCTGTCCATCCCCGTATATATAGGAGTAGATTCCTCATTGATTTGATTAATATCAAGAAATATACTTACAGATTGGATAAAGATAGGAATACCCTAGAAATTAAGAAGCGTATATGCATTGAAATGGAGAATATATCTTGGATGAACCTGAACAAAATCTAGACACCTATCAAAATTAGAAGCAAGTAGGAGTTTGCCAGGAAACTGCCATCAGAAGGATCCCCTGTGGGTTGGTAGCATAAATGGTAGATGGAATCAATGACTTGATCATTAGGTAAACACAGGTCGCCATAGAACTACTACAATTAACTAGCTGAAGCTTGACAAAATAAGTGACTCGCAGTTTGATCACCATGTGTGTAGGAAGCGATTGAAATAAAATCTCGAACTGTGTCTTAAACTCAATTGACTAGGATTTGCTTGATAGGAACTCGTTGGACTTGGAACTTGCTTGTTAGCGAGCAATTTGTTGTCATCAAATTCAGCAAAAAAGACAAGATTTAATTTTGATCAATTTAGTAAATCTTCCCCCTAATTTCTGATTGACAAAACACTGGTTACAAGTACTGAAATAATTCACCAATGACCCTATTGATCTGAACTGGAATTTTATATATTGTCTAAAGACTGCTCCAAACAATCAACAAAAACGTTATGAACAATCCATTTTGATACGATGTCAGGAACGACAGTTTAAAATCGCGCAAATATGTAAATACATACCGAACTAGGTATTGAGGCCGCACATTCCACCATCATGGCTCTCATCCGAGCCACGCCGCACGTCGCCTCTACAGCGACTAGAGAGTTTTCTCAAATTTGCTGCAATATACTTTATAGCCTATTACTCCATTATCTCTTAGGGCCGTTTGGATTAGCGCAGAAGTAGAGCCAGAAGTAGGAAAAGCAGAAGCGCGGGGTTCCATTTTGTGTTTGGATTTTGTGTTTAAACGAACATTATTATAAGAACAATAAATAAAGTTAAAATTACTTTTTAAATCGGTTAATATAATTGTATTTTTTTATAAAAATTATACATATGATTTTTTAATTATATTTAAATATTTTAAAAGAAGTATAAAAAATATATTTTTACTTTAAAATTATTTATATTTAAAATTTTAATTTAAAAAACATATATAAATTAAAAATAAAATTATAATATAATAGGAGTATTAAATTATTTATATTTTTTAATTTATTTTAAAATTTTATAACTTATATTTAATAATTTTAACATAATTAAAAAAATTATATATTTTCATTTAAATTTAGTATTTTAATTATAATTTTAAATTTTAATTCAAATATAGTATATAAATTAAAAATAATAATATAATAATATTTTTTTAAAAAAAATATAATCTATAAACAATTATTTTATAATACTCCCTCCGTCCACACACTAATGTCCTATTTTCCTATTCGGTATTTCAACAACTATTGTCTTATTTCTTTTTTTAAACATAAATTTTACATTTTTATCTTTCATTCATTTATTACTTTTAATGTCTACCATACAATTAAGGAGAAATTTTTCAATTCATAACAAAAAGACAATCACCGGAGGGAGTATATTGTATTATTGTATTATTATTATTATTATTATTATTAAGGATAAAACAGTTATTATAGTTGAAAAATATTTTTGCTTAAGCTACATTTAACGTGCTTTCGAAAAAAATACTCCTCGAAAGCTGTTTGTACTTTTGGACAGAAGCCAATGCAAACAGATACAAACGAAGTCAGAAGCTAATGCAAACAGATACAAACGAAGTCAGAAGCCAATCCAAAAATAGCCTTATTATTCTCCTTCTCCTTATCTATTATAATAGCATCAGTTGTCATTTGCCTCTATTTTATTATTATTTTTAGGATAAATTATATAAAGGTTTTTGAAAATAAACATTTTTATTTGAGATGGACTTTCTTGCGAAAATATAGTATATTTCTGGAAAGTTGCGAAAACACGCGAAAAGTAGTAAATTTCAAAGACAGTTGTATCTGCAAATGAAACAATTGTACCTACAAAAGTTCAAGGTTGTATTAGATAAAAATAAGTTGCACTTGGCTCTAACTACTCTTACACCTTTAATATCAAGTCTAGATTTTTGAATTTTACCATTGTATTCGCATACAAACAATTGTACATATACTTCAATAAGGAGTACATATCCTCAAATTATAAGAAAAATTCTTAGAGTGCGTTTGACAATTAGCGATTAGCTTTTAGTGTTAACTGAACTGTTAGTTGATTCAATTAACTAGTTTGACTAGCTGATTTAATTAGTTGTTTGTATTAAAATATTTGGTAAAATAACTGTTTGACATTAACTGTTTATACCAATTAAGGATATTGATATGTTACTTTTTTAAATGTTTAATTTTTGTTCATTTTCATTTAAAATTTAGAATTTTTGTTATTCATTATTAAAAATTATAAAAAAATATTTTTCTTATATTTTAGATTTGAGAAAAATATTTTTATTATAAAAAAATAATAAATTTTTATTGAAATTGTGTAAAATATAAAATAATAAATCTTTCGTGTATATATATATATTTATTATGGTAATTATTGTTTATTAAATTTTAATGTAAATTTATATAATAAAAATATATAAATAAATTAATAATATTTATCTTATATATTTGATTTTTAGTAAATTTATATATTTTACAAATAATTTATATCTAATAATTAACAATAGTAATTATTTTAAATTTACAAACATAATTTATAATTTAATAAATTAAAAATATATTAAAAATAATTAATAAATTATGTACTAAAATATATTTATATGTATAAAATAAAGAAATATTTTTTAAGGATAAATAAAGAATAAATAAAATTAGAGTGAAAAAGCTTTTCCAAAATGCTGGGTTGATTAACTTTTCAAAATTAGTTTTTTTGTCCAACAAACTCTTTCAAAAAACTAATTTACCAAACACGTAAATTAGTTTTTTTACTGGTGAAACAGCTAAAAGCTTTTTCTCAAACACCCTCTTAAAGATACACATCATTTTTCATACCAAATGTAAATAATATGTAAATGTGAAAATTGCAATTGTATATATAATACTGTCCCCGTCCCTTTTGAAATGGACCATTTAGAATTTTGTAGTAGATTAAAAAATAATAATATTTTATTGGTCATTGGAAGTGTGTAAGAAGATTTGATATTTTTGCCATTTGACTTTGTATAAAAAGTAAATATATGTGTAGGTATGCTTGTAATTTAAATAAAAATTAAAGGTATTTTAGTATTAGTGTATGATTACTTTTACTAAAAAAATAAAAATGATATTTTGAAATGGAACGGACGAAAATGATAAAAATTGTACTTTGAAGTGGAAGAAATATTATATGTAAGTATTGTTTATAAATGTTAGTCAAATATATAAATAAATATCTATGTAAATAAATATATATTCATAAAAATAATTTATAAATATTGTATATACAATTATGTATATTAATATATACGTAAATGTATATATATTGTAGTCGTCTTGAAAAATTGGTATGTGGAAGAGTGTGCCTACAATAGAAGATAATTATATCTACATAAGTTCAAAGTTGTATCTATATAGGAATCATGTTGCAGTTGGCCGTTGCTAGGTTTGTACATATACTAGAAGAAACTTATATCTCGATATCAAAGTTGGGATTTTTTGTTTTGCCACCGTATTCGGATGAAACTATATATATATTTCAACAAGAAGCACATTCCCCCAAATTATAAAAAAATACTTCAACAATATAACATTATTTTTTATGCCAAATATAAATGTAAATATAAATAAATATCTATTCGTAAAAATTATTTATATATATTGTATATACAATTATGTATTAATATAGACATAAATGTATGTATATATGTTTGAACCATCTCAAAAAAATGTTAAGCAAAAGAGTGTGCCTACAATAGTAGACAATTATACCTACACAACTCAAAGTTGTACCTACATAGGAATCAGGTTGCACTTACTCTCGTTAGGCTTGTACTTGTACTTCGAGATCAAAGTCGATACTTTTGAATTTTTCCACCGTATTTGAATGCAACCGAACGTATACTTTAACAAGGAGCACATATTCTACAAATTATAAGAAAAATTTATAATAATACAACGCCATTTTTCATGCCAAGTATAAGTAATATGTAAATGTAAAAATTGTAATTGTATATAAATATTGTTTATAAATATTAGTGAATTATAAATGTAAATGTATATGTAAATAAATATCTATTCGTAAAAAAATATTTATACATATTGTATATATTAATTTATACATAAATATATATATATATATGTGTTGTAATAATCTTGAAAAAAAAAAGGTATGCGAAAATGTGCGTAAAATAGAAGAAAGTTGTACCTACATAGGTATCAGGTTGTACTTAGACTCTTCATAGGCTTATGCATGTACTAGAAGAAACTTGTACTTCGATATCAAAATCGATATTTTTGAATTTTTTCATCGTATTTGAATGCAACTGTACGTATACTTTAACGAGAAACACATATCGCATAAATTACAAGAAAAAACTTCGATTACTACGTTCTTTTTCATGCCAAGTGTAAATGATATATAAATATAAAAATTGTAAATGTATATATAAATGTATATATATTATTTATAAATATTAGTCAAGTATAAATGTAAATAAATATATATTAATAAAAGCTTTTTATAAGTATTATATATACAATTATATATATTAGTGTATACATAAATTTAAGAAAAATCTCCTACAATATAACGTTATTTTTTATGTCAAGTACGCATTCACAATCCCAAAATCCACTTCCATCGCCACTTTTCATGTAGGATATGAGAATAAATTATTTTGAACATGTAGTATTGGTCGAGCACGATAAGATAGTGAAATTGCTTAAAAAAATAATACGCGAAAGGTTGTATCTATGATAGAAGACAATTATACCTATACAAGTTCAAAGTTGTACCTATATATGAATCAAGTTGTACTTAATCATTCAAATCTTGTATCTATACTTGAAAAATCCCTGTTTTTGGCGGAAACACAACCTGTTTCCGCGAGGATGAGTGGACGGAGGGATAGGTGAATGAAGGCGAGGCGGCTGCGGTGGGCAGACGACAACAAGACGGTGATGGCGATGGTGGTTACGGTCGAACAAACACTGTTGGGGCAAAAGAGTATCGTACAGGTTGAAGATTTTGAATAGGTTTAGTAATGTTGTGAATTTTTCCTTCCATCCTACTTAATTTGTTAACATTTTTTTTTTCGTCCATCTCACATAATTTGTCATTTTCTTTTTTTGAAAATATAATTATACACTTTACAATCGCATTTTAAAATTCATAATTTATAATTTTTTTAATTTTAATTAAATTATTTAGTCATCTTAATCTTAATCTATAATTATTTTTATTAAATCATAGTTACTTTTACTAATATACTTCTTAATTACTTACTAATTACACTACATAAAATTCCGTGCCTAAGCTAAATGAAATAATTTAGCTGAGACGAAGGGAGTAGTAATTCATAATTTATAGATTTTTTTTTTTAATTTTAATTAAATTATTTAGTCATCTTAATTTTCATCTATAATTATTTTTATTAAATCATAATTATTTTTACTAATACACTTCTTAATTACTTACCAATTATACAATATCTAAAACTCCATGCCTAAGCTAAATGAGACAATTTAGTTGAAACAGAGGGAGTAGTATTTTTTAGGAGGATAAAAATAGAATTTTGGAGTTAAAAAAATAAAAAATATATGTAGAGGGAGTTTTAGGGAAAAAAATAAGATGAGTGAGTTTTAAGGAAGTTTTTTATGATTTGGGTATTTATGTTCAATTAACCATTATATAACATCCATTCTTTTAGTAAAAATGAACAAAACATCGTTTTATT